AGATTTGCGTCGAAAAAAAAGGCTCCACCGTATTCCTCATCACTTGTTATGACAAAATGATCGTCAAATTAAAAACACTGATAGACTTATCCCACAACTGTCAATATTCGACTGTGTTCCTCTCATCGGCGGGCCTATGGTGCCAAACAAACTTTCATAGTTTGCATCTTAAAAAAATTTCCAAAACACTTATCTAGTGGCCAGTTGCACTGCTCAGTGACTTAAAAAAAAAAAACAACTGATTCGCAACTGCAGGGGTTGGCAGCATCTGCCGCAGCTGCCCGTGGATCGAGCGCGGTTTCCAGGAACAAGCACATAAATGCTAATAAGAAACTTACAGTTCCCTAAGTTGATTATCGCATGATTGTAGCATGAAAGCAGTATGAAGTTTAAAAAAGAAGGCAGGAATAGAACGAACTATATAGTGCAAGATGTAAAAATATTGCTGGAACAGGAGAAATAAGTACGAGAGACTTAAGACGTCTCGATCAATGAAATCATATACATCTTAGCTCAACACCGCGACTGGACCTCGTCAGTATGACGGTCGCAGTGTTCAGCGATGAGAAGAAGAAGAGGGAATGGAAGGCAGGAAGAAAGCAGAAGACAGGAACGGGATTCTCTAAATTCTTTGCTCGAGTGTTATTTTTAGAAAAAAAAAAAAACAACTTGAAAAGAATAAATTTTACCTCAGCTAGCAGCGCGAATACGGCGGACCGTTGAACCGACAGCTTGCCACTGAGCGGAGCTTTGCGCTTCGCTTCTGCACTACTACCACCACCACCAAGACGACCATCAGCCAGCGTATTTCGCAAAGCATTCATGGCATGCAGCAGACCATTTTGCCTGAATCAATATTATCCAGACGGAAAGGAATTAGCTCCCCCCGGGTACCAAGTGTGCGTGGATGCGGTAAATATGAACACGATGAAATATCAGCAGCACGAGAAAAGCAGGATTCGCAAGCGGATCGCTCTGATTATATCCATGGACCGGAACAAAGCAGGCTCCTCAAATCATCATGATGCGCGCGGACCAAAACTCCGAAAGTGAAGTCTTAGTTAAAATCGATTTGAACTTGAATTCTTGGGATCAGAGATCAGAGCAAATGTATGAGCCTAGAAGCCAAGTTTCGCTCATCCGCCACGGACTACTTAATAAGCAGAGCGCCCAAAACTATCGATTCGCAGCACTTTTTGGTATCGCATTTGAAATCTCAACGCAAATTCAGATTTACAGTCACCAGGGAGAAACAGTGACAGAGAAATAGGAAAGTTGATTTCGCCTCCCCCCAACTCTACCACCCACCACTATTCCTAAGCTATTGGAACTCGGTTCGGCTCAGCCGCCATTGAGAGATGTCCTCGTTTCTCAACTAATGCTATTTTAGGGCGTCACTTGCCGGCATTGCTTGGCGCTGTGCCAGCGGGATCTGGATAACCTTCCCTGAGTGCTACCTCGAGCTCGGGAGTTGGGAGATAGTGGGTAATAGGGTGTAGCGTGATTAGTGAGTGCCGAGATGTCGCTTTGGAGGGGAAGCAAAACAGAGAAAGGGACTAGGAGTTAGTACTCAGTAAAGAGAAGGAGACAACATCGTACTGCAAAGAAAAGCAAAGCAAACCTAAGCTTACGAATAACCCAGACAAGAGACGCACCAGGCTTGCCGATGCGATCATGCATTTCCGCATCAAACTTGGAAGTACTCAGGTCATTAACTGCATGGATGGTTGTTGCTTTGAACCTACCTTTTGCGCTTACTAGCGTAAATCACCATCAATTTTGCATAAAATAAATAAACAACTTCCATTTAACGGTAGTTCTTTGAAAGTAACCTAGCTATTCAGTGAGCAGTATTTCTGCCAAAACTTTCAGTTACTCATACGCGAGAACCGTGCATACTTGAAGGCTGAATCTGAAATATTTAAGTTTTACTTGGACAGGGGACATTCCACCAAGATCTCGGCTTTCTAGCTTTTCAGGTTTCCGAGTTAGTAATTTCCCCGCCAAAACTTTCATACGCCCCTACATAAGTACGACGCATACCTGGAAGCTGAATTGGAAAAAATCTTTAGCTCACAAATGCACAGGGAATATCCCTGCAGAGCTTCAGCCTCTTACCCTGTTTGGTTCTCGAGATCGCTTTCCCGCCAAAAAATCAGCATATTTCTTGAGACGTCCGTACGCAGCACCCAGGTGTAGGCGGACGATGATATTAAAACGCGAGGGTTGCGCATGGTGTGGGGTTTCAGCCTTTTAGCTTTTCAGGTTTTCGAGTTGAAAGTGGGTGACAAAAAGCGCGATCACACAAATAGCCTCTTGCCAATATGCATTTTTGCGACTTGCATATATGCAAAAACGCGTAAAAACGAAAGAAAAAGCAAAATCAAAGGATCGGAACCTATAAATTCCCATTTTTGTTTTGAGTGGATATAAATGCAGTGCTTGAATAATTGTTGTCTATTCATTGTAACAACAGTCCTAATTTTTTTTTTTTTTTTTTGAAAATTTATCACGCTGCACAAGAAATTATGGTCGTCATATTTCCACAACTCCCAGTACAGCGGAACGAACCAAATTGAAAAGAAAAAAAATTGTTTTGGAAGCATTAGGATAATATTAAAAAGAGGGATAACAGGTAAAAAAAGTTTAAAAGAATAGTTAATGGAAGAAAATCATTTCGTAAAAAAGAAAGATGTCTAATACAGACGAAAGATTAGCAAGAGTGTAACTGAAAAAGGATGTTTTCCTTTAAACTGAACATCTCATTAACAGAAAATTCAGAGGAGACAAGTGATGAGAATGCTTGGCTGATTCGGAAAGTGTCCCTTGTTCTCCTTTCTTTTTCTGGATTTCACGCTTTCCTTCCCCCTTCTTTTTCTTTCCCACTCCCCTCCCACCTGCATATCCTGATTGACGTCTGCGACTCTCCGCAACTGTACACGAATTTGTCTGGAATTCAGCAAATCAAATAGAAATTTCACTGTTTGAGAACCATTTTGCTCTCTCTATTCGGAATTGTTCTGGCAGAATAGTGGAGGATAAGGAGAAAAGGGCGGCAAAAATGTGGCCAGTGGTCAGCTTGCCGGCCGCACTGCTTCATTAGGAGACTCCAGTTTCGGTGATATTCTAAGAGTAGCTATACGAATGAACGTGTTGCAGAGGAAATCGGACTCTCGTCTTCCCGGAAGAGCGCAGCACTAGTTGCCAGTTGAACATATTCGCAAGCACATTTCTTAATTACTAATTGGTGCATAACTATTCAGTGGTGCTGGTTATAAGTGTGGTCACGTGAGCAATTAAAATCTGATGAAACTTACTACTAATCATCCGATGGAAATCGATCGTAGGCAGATAGTGCCTTAATGAAAAAAATAAAACTCTAGCGGCTCCCGAAACGATAATGAAAAAAAAGAAAAAAAAATAAAACTCTAGCGACTGGAGACGCGGTAATGCATGCATCTAATATAAGCAATGGATA